TTTGGCTCTAGTGAGCTTCTGGGCTGTGAAAACCTCCTGTTCTGGTACCACCTGTTTGGGACCTGCTACTCTGTCTCTGCTGCTGGTCAAATCAAACAGAGCAGCAGGACGGGCAGTTCTTTTTCTAGGTTCATCTGCTGAACGCCTGGTGAACTCCCCTTCTCACCTGGTTGCTGGTGGAGTTCCGGCTACTGTTGGAGTTCAGATTGCAGCTTGCTGAATGGCTCTGTAGTATCTGGTCACTGTAACACCACATTGTTGTGTGCACTGCTTTTCCATGTCTGTCAGTGCCCCCTCTGCTGTCATTCTGTCCTCTCCTGTTTCCTGGAATCTGTCCTCTCTGCTTCACCCTAGCTAACGTTTCTCTGTCTGTCTAAATGTGTCCTTACTCTATTCAGCCATCTTGATACTTCCAATGAAGTATTTTTCTATTCCCAGATTTCTAACAATTTTTATTGAGGACTGATGTCAAATTTTATTAAAAGTTGTTCATCAATTGCACCTTCATGGTGAATTCCACTTTTTGTGGTGTCTTATTCTTTTAAGTCTATTTGATTCATTTTTCAAAAATGTACTTTTTAAAAGATTATTTGTGAGGGAGGAGGAAGAGGAAGAGAGAAAGAAACAGAGAAAGAGGGAGAGAAAGAACCCCCAAATTCTCAGGATGAGTGGGGTTGGCTCTGACCTGAGTCAGTGTGCAGACAGAAGCCAAGTCTCCCACGTGGGTGAGTTGAGCAGCTCCTGCTGCCTCCCAGAGTAGGCGTTGGAAAGAAACTGGGATTAGGAGTGGAGATGCCTCGTGTTCAGGCCTTCTGACAGAAGATGTGGGCTTCTCAGAGGGTGCTAACCTCCAGGCTAAATGCCAGGCCCTTGTTGAAGCCTTTTGCACCTATTCTCATTTCTTGTCCTGCAGTGCCTTTGTTTGGCCTTGGAATGAGGGTAGTGATGACTTCGTAGAAGGAGCTGGAAACTGTTAACCTTATTTGGCAGTTTGTGGAGGAGATTGTGTGAAACTGGTGTTACTTCTTTTAAAAATAATTTATTGGGCCCGACACAATAGTGTAGTGGTTAAGGTCCTTACCGTGAATGCGCCAGGATCCCATATGGACACCGGTTCTAATCCCAGCAGCTCCACTTCCCATCCAGCTCCCTGCTTGTGGCCTGGGAAAGCAGTCGAGGATGGCCCAAAGCCTTGGGACCCTGTACCGATGCGGGAGACCTGAAAAGAAGTTCCTGGCTCCTGACTTTGGATTGGTGCAGCACTGGCCATTGTAGTTACCTGGGGAGTGAATCATCGGACAGAAGATCTTCCTCTCTGTCTCTCCTCTCTGTATATCTGACTTTGCAATAAAAAAAATAAATCTTTAAAAAAGTACTTTACTTAATTCACCAATAAAACTCTCTGGGTTTGAAGATTCCTCTTTTTTTTTGGAAAACATTTTAACTACAAATTTCTATTTTCTTAATAGGACTAATTAGGTTGCTTCATCTGGAATGAGTTTTGGTAATTTCTGATTTGGGGGGAATTAGTGCATTTAATTTATCTCATCAGATTTATGCACATGAAGTGTTGTGAGTAGTTTTAAATTTTTAACATCTGCAAGCTGTAGCACTAGCTCCTCTTTTGTTAATGATATTGGCAGGTTGTATCTTTCGTCTCTTTGTCAGTCTTTCTAGAGGTTCATCAATCCCATTGATCCTGGCAAAGAAGCAGCTTTTCTTTTCACTGACTTGCGTTGCTGTTCTGTGTTCAGTTTTGTTGATTTTTGCTCTTTGTTACATTTCTTTGGCTTACTTTGGATTTATCTTGCTCATCTTTTTTTCTGGGTGATAGATCATGTGAAAACTTTCTCTTCTATGATATGCACATTGAATGCTGTATGTTTTCCTCTAATCACTGCTTTAGCTGTTCCCCTCAAATTTTAAAATTCAAATTTTAACTATCCTGTATCTTTGCTTTTCAGTTAAAATATATTTTCCAATTTCCGTGGAGAGTTGTTATTTGACATCAGGATTGCTTAGATTTTGTAGATCTTTCAACTTTGGGGGGAATTTTTTGGTTAGTCTATATTGTTGGTTTGTATCCTAATTCAATGATGGTGGCAGAACTTGTTTTGTTTTGTTTCATTTATTTTTCAAAGTCTGTGACAGAGAGTGAGAAAGAGAGAGAGAGGCCTTTCACCCACTTGTTTATTCCAAAGTGGTTGCAACAACCAGTGACGAATCAAGCTGAAGCCAAGGGCTCCAAACCGCACTCAGCAAGGGCCCAAGTACAAGCTGAGCTTGACTGATGCCGAAGATTCTTAGTTTGATACAATTTCATTTGTCTATTTCTGCTTTTGCTGCCTGCACTTTTGGGGTGTTATTTTAAAAAGTCATTACTTTGATAATGCCTAGAAATGTTTCCCTTTTGTTTTTCTCTCATACATTTGATAGTTTCTGGGCTTACATTTAGTTTCTCCATCCACTTTAAGTTGAATTTTGTCAAGAAGTAAGGTAGCGGGCCCGGCGCGGTGGCGCAAGTGGTTAAAGGTCCTCGCCTTGCACGCCCGGGATCCCATATGGGCGCCGGTTCTAATCCCGGCAGCCCCGCTTCCCATCCAGCTCCCTGCCCGTGGCCTGGGAAAGCAGTCGAGGACGGCCCAAGGCTTTGGGACCCTGAACCCGCGTGGGAGACCCGGAAGAGGCTCCTGGCTTCGGATCGGCATAGTATCGGCCCGTTGCGCTCACTTGGGGAGTGAATCATCGGACGGAAGATCTTCCTCTCTGTCTCTCCTCTCTGTATATCCGCCTTTCCAATGAAAAAATAATAAAAATAAATCTTTAAAAAAAAAAAAAGAAGTAAGGTAGCGAACTTCCTTAAAACTTCTGCATGAAGAATCCAGCTTTTTTGTGACACTCTTTGTTGAAGACCATTTGTCCTCCAGGAAAGGTTTTTAGGACATTTGCCAAAGATAAGTGGATTTATATGTGTGCACTTTTTCCTGGGGTTTCTATTCTGCTCCCTTGTTCTCTGTTTTTATTTTCATGCCAATGCTAGGCTGTTTCAACTAGCTAGTCTGGGAGCACATCTCAAAATCTGGTATTGCATTGCTTCTTTTTTTGTTGTTGTTACTTAAAATTGGCACAAGTACAGGACATATCAAAGGCATTTTTTTTCTTTTGGAGGCAGAAATAATATGACTGAACACAAATGTTCACAACTGGCTTTACATGATTGCCTCTTTGATATTGTTCTTAAATAATGCTTGACCTGGAAAGCCATCCAGCATTTGAAAAGGAGGAAGTGGAAGGCTAACATTTGTTGGAATATATGCCTGTCACATTCATGCATCTTTCTACTACTAGCGTCTGTGCTTATATTACAGCTTTTATTGTCTCAGAACCCCTTCCCACAAACACACACAAACGCATGCTTCATTTCTGAACACTACATGTATTTTTTTCCTTCTGGCATTCTAGTTAGTGGAATCTGTTATTAGCTGTGAATATTATCTAGGTTGACCAATTTCTCATGTAAGCTAGGACGCTGGGGAGTTGCAGGGGCACTGTTACAAATGCTGAGATAGCTAGACTTGATGAATTCCATCATGAACAACGCTGCAGCTTACAAGAACAGTCAACGTGTATTTGAACCACAGAGAAGAGAAACCAGTGGAAACAATCTTGACTTCAGAGGACTTGAAGACAGTATCAGTCTTCAGCAATGAGGTAGTTGAACATTCAGAACTTTCCCTTCACATCAAAACAGTTGTTTGAACACAGTCTTCCAAATTCTCACCACTCAGGAAGGGAGTTTGCTGTGATTTTCTCCAAAAGCTCATGTGTTGGAAACTTAACACCCAAATTCTTCTGTTAATGATGTAAGGAGGTAGAGTTCCTGAGAGGTCGCTAGGAATAAAGGAGGACAGGAGAGGTGGGGGACACAATTAGTGGTGTTCATGAGGAAGAGCACCTGAGCTAGAAGCTTTCTCTGTTTCACCACGTGTAACCTTCACTGTGTGATGAAGGCCCTGCACGCATACTGGGCAAGTCCCAGTCCCAGGCACACGAACCACTTAGCCTCTAGCACCAAGAGCCAAATGAATTTCTGTTTTTATAAACCACCTGGCCTCAGGGGGTTTAATCATGCAAACAGAAGATGGACCAAAACGGAGATATGATCATTGTTATGATAAGGATAAGGAAGTGGAGGATTGGACAGGGAATGCAAGGTGCCCAAAATCCACACTGCAGCAGCTTGGTACATCTGACACTAGAACTTTGTCATCTCTCATTCCAGACAGCAACCTGGAAGCCACAGCCTGATGTCGACTGTACATAGGCTTTGGTGGTGATGAGACAGGGTTTGGTGTTGGAGCCATGTGGTGCTGTGATCACAGGGCGGTGGTGAGAGCAGCCTTTGTTTAGGCGTGCTTGCCAGGTGTCCTGCTCTGTGCTAACTCCTCTTGTGCTGGCTCATTCATGTCTCACATTTACTTCATCATAGAGTTACTACTGGAAAGCACATTTTTTTTTTTTTTTTTGCAAATGAGGGAAATAACGTTAAAGAGGCTGAGAAAGATGTTCACGCTGCATTGGAGGTCTAAAATTCAAATCAGTTTTCCTTCTCTCCTGGACACAGTTCAAGCATGGTGTTAAGTCTTAAGATAAGTCTTATGTTTCATGATATTATTCTGGAAGATCTTGGGAACTGACCCATTTTCCTATATATGTATTTGCTTGTCTGATTTTTGCAAAGGTTCAAGAATTGCTTTTTTTTTTAAAAAAAGATGGTGGATATTAATCATTATAATTTATATTATTTTTGGTGACGTGGCCAGGTTGCCTCCCCTCTTTTGAAACTGTTTTGTCCCATGCAGTGGTTGTGGCCATGCATGAGAAACAGCAGGTGGTGCCAGATGACAGATGGTGTGGGAGCCTGTTCCCCGGTGGGAGGGGGCGCGAGTGAGCGAGCAGGCAGCTGCCAGATCTTCCCTGGTCGCTGGCTCCCTCGCGCCTCACTCTCAGAAGCTCCGATCTAGACACACGCGAGGCGCTGTCCTTTCAGCACCACAAGCTCCGGCGGAGCAGCAACGACTCCTCTTGAAATTGGCTTGGATCTGTTCTGACTCCCCAAGAGTGCAGCGCAGTAAGTAGGCATTCGTTTCTGTGGTAACCACTCCCTGATATCCTCCGAACCCTTTCTACCCTCTTTACCCCAGCAACAACCCTGTTTTTTGAATAGCGTTCTGTCAGCAACATCCACAGGAGAAATACAGTGGTGCTGGGCTTTTGAGGGTGGGGTGGGAGCACGGCCTGACTTGGAATGGAGCTGGAGCCTTGAAAATCTTATAATATGGGGGCTACTAACTTTCTATGGGGGGAAAAAAACCGGCCCTTTGCTATTGAGGAAATGAATGTGTTCTATGGCTGAATAACAACATCGGGTTCAAACCAGCTTCTTGTTTTAGAAAATTGTATCTCATGTGCAATATACATAGGTTGTAAAATGTTGCAAGTAGAGATACTAAACAAATTTATTGTGTTTAAGGGGTTTGCTTAAGAAAAATCAATAGAACAAAATTGCAAGCAGGATGGTGAAATGAAATGCATCATACTGCAGGGGAAACCTAGGATAATGGATTTCATTTTTGTGCTAAGAATAAGCTTTTCAGTGGTGTTATATGAATGCTTTAGCTGTAGTGTCTTAGGCATTTTAAGCTTGTGTTTTTGGGCGTGTTCGTGTAGTCTTGGATCTTAAATCTGAAGGTTGCTGAACCTAACGGGCAGGTGGCATATTTGGATGATTAACGAAGTTTTTAGTGGACGATGAGGATCATGTCTAGAAATCTGGCAGAGCAATGACTGATCCGATGGAAAGCCACCCAAATGGAGCTGTTGAGGACAGCACTATTTTGTCTGTCATCAATCCTCTCTTTCCCTTGCCTCACCTCCCACTGCTTGCCTTAGGTCTGGGAAGAGAGACATAAGGATGGTGAAGCTGAACGGTAACCCCGGTGAGAAGGGAACCAAGCCGCCTTCAGTGGAGGATGGGTTCCAGACCGTCCCCCTCATCACTCCCCTGGAGGTTAATCACTTACAGCTGCCTGCTCCGGAGAAGGTAAAGCAGGTGTTCTGCACCCCCTGACCCCTCATCCTCATCAGGAAATGAAGCAGCCAGCTATTCCATCCCCAAACTCTTTCATCTTCCTGTCTGTCAAACATACCCCCTTCCTCGTAAAATGTAGCTATTCCTTCCAGAGGGAAGGTATCTCTTGTGCTCTTTCAGATTTGTGGTAAGTGTTCATTTGTTCTTTGTGTTTTTTTTTGTTGTTGTTGTTTTTTCATGTATACTTACACGGGCAAGTACTTTCCTTGTTAAAGTTCTGTCACATCAGATGAATACTACTAAGCTTCCAGAGGGTGGCAGAGAAAAAATCATCTTGATTATTTTGGTGGAGGTATTTAAAAAATGCGTTGGTATAGATTTGAGGGCAGAGAATTGGATTTGGTCCAAGAAGCAATCGGCTTGCACCTGCTGGGATCTGTCCCCATAGTATGAGTTGGTGATCAAAAGACAACATTAAAAAAAAAAAATCCTTGTCCGGTACAACAAATGAATCTAATGCATCATGGTCACTGCTGAGCATTAGAAAAATTATGAGGGTGCAGGCATGGAAACAACTACATTCTGTGTAGGGTCTGTGGCTCAGACTGGGAGGACAGGTGAGGTAGGCTGCAGAGGAGAGCGTTTGAATGGGTATTTTAGAGGTAAGTACAAACCTGCCGGGTAGACCATGGGATGTAAAGGATGCAAGGCAAAGGGCACACACATAGAATGCTTTGGGGGAGCAGCAAAACTGGAGTAGACTGTGTTCAGGGGAGGCGGGGCTGCGAGTGAGTGACTGGCTGATGGCACATCTCCTGACATGGGAGTAGTCCATGAAGAATAGAGGTGGGTATTCATACAAAAGCAGGTGGGGGCAGGGTAGCCCATGGACGTGGGTGGGAGATGTCTTATCATCTAAGATCCACTCAGGAGCACTTGGGGTTTCACAGTGTGAGCTTTGGTGCATTGTATGTGTGTGTGTGAGAGAGAGATCTGGAGACAAATGCTGGGGTTCCCTGGCTGAAGGGCAAACAATGGATCATTCCATCTGTTTGATTTTCTTCTTGGCATCACCAGGAGAGCATTGTGTGTCTTAACCAATTGGCTCCATCTAAACAACAGAAGATGAGCCAAAGCCGGATAGAGGGCCTGGCTGATTGGCTGAGTGTTGAGTCATTTGTTTTCAAAGTGCAAAGTCAATGTGGGAATGTGCTGGGGTAGAGTGGCAGAAATGAAGAATTCTTGAGCTATCCTGAGAAACTGAGAAAGCCTATAGCACTCGGTTTTGAATGGGAAATGAACACTAAAAAGATGGAGAGGGAGAATTTCAACTGGGTACCTGCTTGCATGTATTTCAGAGGGTCTCAGTTTTTCATGGTGTGCTAGATTTGCCTGTGGAGTCTACAAAACCCTTGCTTTGTAGGCTGGACCTCTCAAACCCAGCTACAAGTATTAATGAGATCTTTCCAAGTAAATCATGCATGTAGGTAAATTGAGGACCGCTGTTTTAGACATGCATAACCTCTGGGAATCAGGGATTGTGCACTTACATTTATAGATAGTAAAGTGTTAAGTCATGCAGACCCACAGAAGGATCAAGTGGAAATGGCTGGAGTTTGAACCCAGGGATAAGTGCAAGTTGGGAAGGACAAGGGCAGTGTTGTTCTGAGGTTTAGTGAGTCAACAGCTACAGCCTTGCAGGTCTGCATGTCTCGGAAATGTGTACAAGGAAAAGAGATTTGTTACAGGTCATCCCAGGGATTGCTGTGGTCTCTCCTTCCCTAACTCCCCCTCCTCATCTCTGAGGCCTTCCTTCTCTCCTTGAGAGAGAAAGCAAGGTAAGTGACTTCTGACCATTTAGATCAAATGTACCTGAAAGCCATCCCAAAGCCTCAACAACAAATACCTGCATGTGTTACAGCAGAAGCCAGTATATGCTGAAAGATGCAGTGGGTCCCAGATTCATTGCAACTCCCTACAGGAACACATCCCTCCAGGGAGAACCATGGGTTTCCTCTGAGGTTTACAATAAAGCCTTCTTTTTCCAGTTGAACCTCGGTTTCCTCTTCTGTGACATGAGGAAGATCACATCCATCCCACTAAGGTCCGCAGTTAGTTAATAAGGCCTCCTATGTAAAGTGCCTGGCACAGAACTAACTGCAAGGAAATACTAATAGCCATTTCCGTTGCTTTCTACATGCTGGATGCTGTCCTAAGCCAGATTTATGTACAGTGCACATGTGTGCATATGTGTACTCATGCTTGTGTGCACACACACACTCTCTCTTCTCTTTTGTTCTTTTCATTTCAATGACAATGTTGATTTAGAAGATTCCACTTCAGCAGGAATGAGGAGCAAGCTGGCCTGGGAGTCTGAGAACTTGGTGTCTGACTCAAGCTCAGTCTCTTAATCCACAGTGTGGCATGGATCTCCTTGCTCGAGCTGCTTATCCTCTATTTTCTGTGCTAAGTTTTGGATTTCCATCATCTTTTCAGGTGCAAACATGTTTGAGTTCCCTTAAAGAAGCCAAAGTTCTGTGAGCACTCAGTGCAGTGAGAGATTTTCAGCACAGACTGGAGCCGTGTCCTTAGCTGGGTTCACATACTTGCTCCGTGTTCCCCTGGTTAACGACTTGGGGCAGGTTTTCTAACCTGCTTAGTCTAAACCTTCTCTCCTGTAAAAAGGGGGAGTGTTACTCTTGGGACTCAGCTCACAGGGCTTAGGGAGAGGAGTCAAGGAAGTCCTGCATAGTCTTCGGTCCTTCGATTAGGTTCCAGTCAGATGGTGGGGGTCTGAAGCTCAGGTGGTGATCAGAAAGAAGTATATTTGTCCCAAAGTATTTTCAAAAGATTGGTTTGTTTATTTGAAACTCAGAGTTATAGAGATGAGGGTAGGAAGAGATGTGAGAGAGAGATAAAGAATTTTTCATCTGCTAGTTCATTTCTTAGATAGCCACAATGGCCAGAGCTGGGCTGGGCCACATCCAGATTCTCTCACATAGGTGGTAAGAATCCAAACAGGAACTGGATTAGAAGTGGAACTACTAGGACATGACTGGTGCCCTTGTGGGATGCTCATGTTGCAAATGGTAGCTTTACAGGCTATGCCACAATGCTGGCCAATATTTGGCCCCAAAGTTAAATTGTGGCTTTCCTTTTTTTGAAAATGTAAAATATGGAGGGGGCTGGGTGTGCAATTATGAAGCCTCTCTTTAGATTCTTGTCCTGAGTACTCTTTACAAGTGTGGATCATGAGTGTCAGGATAGAGCGTTTAGGAGATGGATGTGCCCAAGGCCCTTGCTCTGGGCTGGAGATGGGCTGTGCAGGGTACTCATGTCTGTGATTTCAGTGACTCTTCCCAGAAGCCCTGTCTCATGGGTGTTAGTGCACCTATTTCACTGATGAGACTGATGCACTGCTCAGTGGAGCAGCCTGTTTACTCTGCCTGGCGTTGCTTCCATGTTGAGAAGCCTCCAGCTCTGTAAGAGTGCTTCCTCCAGCTCTGCCTGTGCATGATATCTGTGGCGTATCATGCAGACTCACAGGCCTGATGGTGGCTCTCCGGCTGTGGCTCCAAGGAGAAAACAGCACTTGCCTTGTTGGAGGAGGTGGGTTTGAATTCACAGGAGGTCGCTTGCCTTCTCTCACTTCCATTCTACTTGTATCCTCACTCTTCCTCCTGCACTTCTTAGAGTTCAGGTCGCTTTGCATAGATCTCCTTCACAATCCCTCATCCCCACAGGAAGACATCTGTAAGGCCTACTGGCTTCCTTTTCTACCACCTCTACATTGTAGCTTTTACATGAGCATGTCAGACCTTCCTAAAGAAGCATTCTCTGCAGGGAATCCATGTAGCAATGTCTGGAGACATTTTTTGGCTTTCACAGCTGGAGGGGGCATTCCACTACCATCTATGGGTAGAGGCCATGAATGCCATTGATCATCCTGCAGTGCCCAGTACACCCCCTTCCTGCCCCAAATGTCTACTGTGCTGAGAATGGAAACTCTGACCTAAACTTCCCAGCATTCTTCAGGGTGTTCTGGACTTGCCTTTCCATCTGCCCAGATTGCTTACCTCATTTCTTTACTTGTCCGATAAGATAAAAGTCATTTCCTAAGCCCAGTTTAAATAGCATGCTTATAAGAAACCCTCCCTGACCTCCCGTCAGTAGATATGTGGTTATATTTATTACACTAAAAGATACTCACCCATCCATCATCCATCCATCTGTCCATCCATCCATCCATCCATCCATCCATCCATCATTCATCCATCTGTCCATCCATCCATCCATCCATTATTCATTCATTCATCCACTGCCTACTTGCCCATCCACCCGTCATCCATCCCACTCTCACTTTTGGTGCATTCCTACCATGAGTGCTGGAAGACAGCAGTGCATGCACAAGGCCGGCTAGGAAGCCACCGCTGTGTTCCCGAACAGGGTGGTAGTGAGCGGGCAGCAGAATGGGGAGGAAGATGGAATTAGACTGCTGCTATGAGCTGCCCTTATGCTGTCTGCTGCACTGGCCATCACCAGGTCTGACCACACATCTTCTCAGCAGCCTTAGTCCTTACACACAATGGCCAGTGGGAAATGATGGCTGAGCAAGGCTTGCCTGTGTTGCTACAGCTTAAAACTGAGCTCCCTTTCCCTATTTGACAGGTGGAGAAATTTTTCTGAATTGCAGTAGCTGAGTGGCTTCCTTCAGAGTGTGAGGGTGAGCTCTTTAAATGCCTGACTGTGAATTGGCAGGCTTCAGGGGCCAGGAGCTACTTTTGGGGTATAATAGCCCAGACACTCAATGTGAGGGTGCTACCATTTGGCCCTATTGTTGCTGCTGCAGGGACAGGCTCAGAGAGTTGCCATGCTCTGCTAAACAAACAAAAACAGGGCACGCAGGTGTGATGCAAAATGCCAGCTGATGGATGGCAGGGCCACAGCAGACTCAGCCCCATGTTGGCAAAGCCCCATGTGGACCGTGTACTTGGCAAGCCAGCTACCAGGTG